CGGTTGACGGTTCAGTACGGCCGGCACTAGACTGGCACTTAAAAATCACTTTTTAGATTTTTAAAGGTCCTAGGGTCAGACTTTGTTTCTTTCGATGAGAAAAAAAATCTTTTTTTTTTAGAGACCCCCCCCTCTTTTTGCTGCCAGACGGATTGATGTCACGCGGATAACGCACGGACGCCCCCGACGCAAAAACCCGGAGGACGCGATTCGCCTGGCAAACAGTAGGAGGCGGAAGCCGAGCATGCAGGAGAGAGGTTTGGTTAGGTCAGCTGAAAAATGGACACGCCCCCCCCCCCCCCCTCACTCTGCTGTGGGAAGGAGACGCGGGAGCAGTTTTCGTCCACCGTGGCCGCGAAGGCAAATTAGAACTGGGAGTTGGCAGTATAAATGTTTCCGACGCACTCCCTTTCGCTCTGTTATCCATCTAATTTTCTTGAACTTGTCTTGATCGGTATTTTCTGCGTTGCAGTGCCGCCGGGGAAGCCCACCATCATAGACGGGTCCGGCGTCCGCGTGGAGGGCGCCACCCGCCCGTACGAGGAGGGCCAGTCGCTAGAGCTCACTTGCATCGTGCACGGCGGTGAGTACACATGCTGCTAGTCGACGTGTTATTGTCGTCGTGGCGGATAAAGACGGCATCATTTTTTTTTTTTTCACGCTCTCCCTGTCGTCACCTTCCTCCCCGTTTTCCTGTGACTTCCCCCCACCCCCACCCCTTTCCCTTTCAACGAGCTCGTGTATACGATCTGCTCATGTCATGAATGCCGGATATGGCGCGTCCCGTGAATATACGCTCGCCTAGTGGCTGCGAAGGGGTGTGTGTGTGTGCGGAGAAGGGGAGAAGGGCTCAACTGCCGCTAAGATTTGACTCAAATTTGTGCCATTCTGTAAGCAACTTTCTATCCGAGCGCCCGTCGCTATCTCGTCAACGCGTGCGCGCGCGAGTATTTAAACCTACCACTGAGCGAGTTTATGATGATTGCCGTGATTGAAAATGACAGCGTCTCTTTTCCACCTCAGAATTTTTTTTTACCAAAATAACGACCGTAGAAAAGTACTGGCAGTGGGAGAAAGGTTCAACATCGAGACCTAAGTGATTGGCTCCGACGACACAACTGCCGCCGCCGTCGCCGCCGTGGCGATCGCCCAAAATGAAGCATCAGCGCTCGGCCTGTTACGGTGCTCACCTGCCCTGCCGCAAGGGACGAGGAAGTGCTTTAAAAAAGATGAATACATATAAAAAAAAAATCTAGCCTTTTTTTTTCACCGCGTCGCTGCTATTGGGCCAGGCTGGGTAAGCGCGTACTGTGGCACGGCGGGGGCGGGCCCAAGCCCTTCGGCGAAGATGAGACCCGAAATGATGTGACTTTGCGTCATCTTTCCGAGGCAGTGGGATAGCCCGCTGCCGCTCTGCTCCTCTAGGAAAATGAAAAGAGGCTGTGTCACCACGCGTGGATGGGGCGGGGGAGGCGGAGGCGAAAAGGGCTCCATAAGGGCGCTCCGTCCACGAGATGCGGGCGAAGGTAGGCCGTTTGGTGGTGGTGGTGGAGGGGGGGGGGGTGATGATAGAGATCGACGTGAGGCTGGAGGGCGCAATGCGAGCGGCAGCCAGTAGCGTAGCAGTGGCTGCCTAAATGAGAGGCATTGGAGAAACGCACGTGTTCTGCTTCCTCCCACGCGATACACGCCGCGGATTAGCCGAGCGCCCGCCCGCCTCTGAGTGTGCCGCTGGTCTTCGTGGACCTGTGCTTGCCGCCCTCTGGCCTGGCCGTTCCGCATCGCCCGCCCCCGCGGCTCCTGCCGTCCCTGCTGCCCCCGCGGCCCCCGCCCCCGCGCCCTGTCCCATGCGAAGGTTTTGAATAATGCGCGATCGGGTGCGGAGAGCTGAGATAAGCAAGCGCGCCCTCCTGCCCAGCCGGCAGCAGAGCCCTGCTGTGCCGCCCCCGGCCTTCGCCCCCCGGGCCGCCCCCGGCAGCCCCCGGCCGTCCCTGGCCAGCCTCCCCCGCCCGGTAGAGGCCCATGAAACATTCAGGAAAGACGGACAGGGAAACACCTTGCGAGCCCCCGCCCCGCCCGAGCCAGTCCCCTTTTCGCTCTACCGGACCAATTTTACCTTCAATCCGTGCCCTTGCGCTCTCACTCCACCCTTCCCCTATTTTTTTTTTTTTTTACCCCTACCGCACCGGCTTGCTGCTGCTGTTTTCTGTCAGGGCCGGGCAAATTTTGATAAGTAGAGGTGGACTTGTGCGGCCGTCGGGGAGGAGGGCGAGTTTATTAAATCAGGGACCGGGGGAAGCGGGGACTCTGGAACAACAGTAGCGGCTGCGGGCTGGGACGGGGTGCAACGCAGGTGGTGATTGCAGACCCAAATGAAGCCTGCTCTCCCAATCCGCCGTGTTCCGTGGCCTTCACGGTGGCAGGAGTGATGGGAGCCGGCCAAGGAGGAAAGGGGAGCAGCGGTTGACGGTTCAGTACGGCCGGCACTAGACTGGCACTTAAAAATCACTTTTTAGATTTTTAAAGGTCCTAGGGTCAGACTTTGTTTCTTTCGATGAGAAAAAAAATCTTTTTTTTTTAGAGACCGATCGGACACGTTTCAGTGGTGCCGCAACGGCCCCAAAGTTGATTTATTTTAAATAACGACACTAAGTCACATAAACGTTAATAACTACCCTCCCCGATGTCCGATCGACGTCCGATTTTGACCAAAAGTAGAGTATTATATAGGGCAACTTTCGTGCAAAGCCACCCCGCTGTAGCTCAAATACTTTCGGAGTTATGGCCGTTGAAAGATTTTTGTCATTTTTAGTAACTTTGGGGAAATGACCAAATTTCACGAAAAAGGACTTTGACCGTCGTCTTTTGCTCTTAAAAATCAGCCACTGGTTCCCTAGCGGTAAAATTCTGTTCTGAATCCGAATCCGTCGAGAGATTTGACGGATTACATCGTCTTGTTGCCATTCTGGAAAAGCAGTCCTCCATAAGCCCCTAATAAAATGAAAGTTTAAGAATGGCCGGTTGACGGTTCAGTACGGCCGGCACTAGACTGGCACTTAAAAATCACTTTTTAGATTTTTAAAGGTCCTAGGGTCAGACTTTGTTTCTTTCGATGAGAAAAAAAATCTTTTTTTTTTAGAGACCGATCGGACACGTTTCAGTGGTGCCGCAACGGCCCCAAAGTTGATTTATTTTAAATAACGACTCTAAGTCACATAAACGTTAATAACTACCCTCCCTGATGTCTGATCGACGTCCGATTTTGACCAAAAGTAGAGTATTATATAGGGCAACTTTCGTGCAAAGCCACCCCGCTGTAGCTCAAATACTTTCGGAGTTATGGCCGTTGAAAGATTTTGGTCATTTTTAGTAACTTTGGGGAAATGACCAAATTTCACTAAAAAGGACTTTGACCGTCGTCTTTTGCTCTTAAAAATCAGCCACTGGTTCTCTAGCGGTAAAATTGTGTTCTGAATCCGAATCCGTCGAGAGATTTGACGGATTACATCGTCTTGTTGCCATTCTGGAAAAGCAGTCCTCCATAAGCCCCTAATAAAATGAAAGTTTAAGAATGGC